GTCGCAATCAAAGTATCACTACTTTTACATTCAAAAAACAATTTTGCACACAGAAAAGGGGGAAAATCTGAGTTAGAACTTTTAATATTCTAACAACCACTTAATAGTTGAAGTTGAATGTGGTAATATCAAAAGATCATTCATTATCTTAATTGTATAACTATAAATAATTATATACAAAATTAACATATATATAAAAATATATTTATTATATCGTATTTATTGTCAATAATACTTCAACTTTACAAACAATAATTTGGTGCAAAATATGAAAAGCCAACTACGCACTGGGTTGGAAATAACTAATCTTAAATAACATTAAAATAATGATATACTGCAAAACATTCAATGGTCATTCCTTTTAATTAAGTACTTAATAATAATATGTAATACTTTTTTGCAAGGAAAAAAATATAATACTATTAGAAATTATAGCTGATTAAAAGATATAATATGTAATATTCAATAATATGTTACGTTATTTCATGACTTGACATTTTTGAAGTTATTAATGTTTACAATGACTTATTGATTAAGTATAAGATAAAATTGAATGCAGAATTTTTTTAATACAATTGAATAATGCTATAAAAATATTTTAAATTTACTATACATTAAATTACATTAAAATGATTTTTTAGGGGTTGCGGTGGTAAAATTTTAATTAGAAGTCTTCGTCACTTGATTTGGCATAATTGCTTAGAATTCTTCTTCTGAACCATTATGCTTTTGCGCCTCATTCTAGCATTTTTTTTATGATATAATTATCCCTTAATGTATTGCGTGTTTTTAAAATCGTAAGAGATATTTGATCAGAATCGTGAATATAAGAATTTGCAGGGAGACACAAACTAACTTGCATAACGTTCATATTTATTTACGTAAGATAAATAAACAAAATTTCAAGACAAATGTATTTATGTACAGTGGCATCTTACCTTTAATGAAACTTAATGAATGTGTATAGCGAATATCAAAAAATATAAAGGATTTGTTTGGAGTAGCTAAACATAAAATATGCCAAATGCGTTATGAAGATGAGATTGAGTTCAATAAGTTGAAAATGGATGAAAACACACTTTGAGGCTACCGCAAACCATTACTTTTCATTTTCTAAATCGAAAACATACTTAAGTCCATTTAAACCATACATACTCCACATTTTCACATAAAAGAGACGAACAATGCAAAAAATAAAATTCATCGCTAAAACACACTTCAATATCATCAAATAACACACAGCTAGTTAAACTTCATTAGCTTGCGTACACCAAAAACTAAAATATTATTGGTTTTCTTTATTTACTTGCGCAAGTCACAAAACTAATCTGTAGAGCCCAAGAGGGAAAACAGGTTAAACTCGGAACATTAAGCCCCCGACTCGGAGTAGCAAGCAAAGATACTCCGAGATTACGACCTTTAAAATGGTCCTTATGCTCGGAATTCGCCTTGTCACACGTCACTTCATTTTTAATACTGATTGCGCCATCATACCTTGTGTCATGTCTCTGCAGGTTACAGCTCTTTTCGCGAGGTGCGAGGAAATATCTCATCATTACTTTTGAAATTTGAAACGCCAACATTCATACAATCACACGAGGAAAAATTTCATCATTACTTTCAAAATTTGAATTGCCAACCATTACATCTCTTCGTTTCTTCTTCCTTTTGTCACATTTTCTTGTTTTTGGTTTCTTCCTTTCGTTATTTCCTTTGCATTGTTTCTTTAGCTCATGGAACGTTACCAATATCTCAACAAGCATCTCAAAGCTTATCATCTTCCATAATGTAACGCCTGATGATGCTCACCGGCAAGTATACCGATCGCACAAGTAATATAATGAGTAAGTAAAGTATCGTCTCCACAGAGATTGTAAACTAAGTACCACAATAACCAGTCCCCTTAAGTTGGAAAATTTGGTTGTTTTGGAAAATAAGGAATTTGTGGTAAAATAAAGACAAATATTTAAAATTTAAAATTTTCAATTTAATAAGCAATGGTAAATTTTGGATTTTGAGAGAATAATAAAAAGCATTGCAGCTAAGGTACACGCACCATATGATCCCCGCTTTAAACTTTGGATTGATTGACAATGTTCATTCAATTTAATAACTCAGACAAATTATCATCTAAAATAATTTGTTAAATCACAATCCCTTGGCAATCTAACCCTTTAATTCAATTGGAATCCTAATTCTTTAGCAATTCTGCATGCAATTAAGCATTAAACACGATAATTTAAACGTCTGCAATCTACACAAGTCTATCCCTAGAGCATGCATAAATTGTTACTTTACCCCCTTTCAGAATCAAAACCCCAATATTCCTATTGCGAATCCTAATTCCTAAATTATTATCTCCTATTAGGTTGATCAAGTCTAACAGAAATAATATCAATACGCACACGGTAAAAATAAAATATATTAAAATAAACGAGCGAAAATAATTAATCCAACGTAAAAAGGGTTCACATAGGGTTTGTGACCCCAACTACAATAAAGGAATTAGCCAGCCATAGACATGGCAGACATAAAATTATAAAATAGAATTCAAAATAAAATTACTAGGAGGAACGAAGAATGATCCTCTGCTCTTCTCCTTTTTCTGGAATCCTTGTTCTGCTCCGTCGTCCAAAAGAATCTCCCAATTGAACCCTCGCAGCGTTCTATTAAGTTCGAAATTGCTTCCACGCTGAAGTCCGCGCGGGTAGCGCCAAACTGGCGCGGCAGTAGCGCCACAATTTTACACTAGGTTGGTTTCTCGCGCGGGTAGCGCCAAACTGGCGCTGCACCCGCGCCAACTCCCTGGTCTTTGTGCTGCTTTGCTGAAGTCGGCGCTGCACCAGCACCAAACTGGCGCGAGTAGCGCAACTTTCCTTTTTCAATTTTTCACAATTTCCTATTTCTTCTTTCTTTAACATCTACAAATTATAAAAAATATGAGAAATAAATTGAAATGGATAAACTAAATAATAAAAATAATTAATATACAGAAAATGCTCTTTTATGATTAAATTCTTATTATTTTTGGCTTGGAAAACATCACATGCTAGAGGCACATCAAATCATTCCCAGATTTAAACGTTTCTGCCCCCAGCAACGAACAAGACTCAACCCAGGAAATAAACAATTAATCCAGCATAACAATACAAAGGCACTCTAGTGATTAGTGCGCCTATAGTACAGAAGATGCGCTCCATAAGTGGACAAATATAAAGGCTGACATAAAAGCGCAATACCGGTTGGTCAAATCAGTCTGTCCTATTCTAAACATCAAACATTTTGGATGGTTGAATGAAGTTCTTATACATCTTGGCACTTAGACTTCACATACTACCCAATGTAGCTTTGTGTAGGGAGGTTGTTAGAAAAATATAATATTAAATTATTAATATGATCTCCACCTAACACTTTAAATTTTGGATTTATATAATTTTTTATATGGTATCAAAATCTCTTAGACTAAATCGTCATGAATTCAATTCTCATCGTCCCTTGCTTTTGGAATTCAATAAATTCTTATATGAAGGGGCGTGCTTTTGGGTTGAATTGACAATTTACACGTAGAATACTAAACTTTCATTTGAAAAGCAAACTCATTTAGTTTTTTTTTTCTTTTTAATTTCATAGTAAGAGGTCTGCATGCATATTAAAGTTTAAGGTCCAATTCACGCCTAAAGTATTTTATTTTACATTTATAGAAAATAAAAGAGGCTTAAAATTAATACTTATAAAAGTTGAGAGAACTATAGTATAAAATGAACATTTAGTAGTTAGATATTTCTTTTAAAAATTTATCACATTATAATTTCGTTACTTTAAAATTTATTAAATCATTTATATTAACAGAAAAATAATTTAACAGTTAATGAAATATGAATTTGTTATACTAGTCATCCTCTTTGATGATGCTCACCGTATGCTCATTTTTCAATTCTATTATTGTTTCTTTTCCTGTACACTATATACCAGTAAAAAATAAAATAAAATAGTGTATGTATATATAGTTGGATATGTAATAGACGAGGACGGATTTAGGGGAGGGACAATGATAGGAGGTCGCCATGACAAGTCTGACTCGCTAGTCTAAATGAGCTACAGTTTATAGGTGAAAATAGTTTGCTCCCCTAAACAAATTGGTTTTTAGTTCGATTTTTAATTAGCTAGGTACTTAAACCATTCAAAACACCGTTACTTACTTGTTAATGTTTATAAATATTAGAGTAATAAGAAGTTTGTTAATGTGCTAAATATCGCATACATATGTGATTTCTTCCAAAAGAGCTACGTCAACAATTTAGAGGTGTTAGTATACTATTGCTATTGGCGTAACCAAGTAGCACGAAATTATTTTTCTTATTTTGTGTATATATATACAGATATATGTTCCATAGTCTCTCCTTAATTTGTGGAGCTTGTTTAATTGTTTTGTTTCAAATTAAAAATCACCAAGTTGCGTGCAAATTGCATCTTGGACATAAATGTTATACTTCAACACAAGTGAATACTAATACGAATTATTCCTTCATTGTTTTTCTTATATGGTATAAATCTCACTTATTTCTAATTTTAATAAAAGAATATTGAAAATTTACTCTAATCCGCATATATAACTTACACTAAACTTAAATTGACATATTGGGCAAGTCTTTATTCTTCATTGGCATATGTGATTATATATATATATATCAATGTAAACAATCTGTTATTAACGTACATGAAGAGTATATATATATCAACAACAATAATAACAACAAAACTACACAGATGAAATTAAGCACTTGACAAAAGTAAAATGTGTACACTTATTAAATTTGGGGTTCAACCAATTGATCCAATCCTTCTCTCCTCTAATCTCTTTATTAATAAGCTATGAATATGTGACGGAAACTATATATATAATGGATTTAAAATACAGGAGAATCCTTTGATATCTCAAAACTGCTATAATATAATATATAGATTAGATTTAGACCCCTACCCTTCCAAATAACTTTCTTTCATGCATAATTACAAATCCCATTCTCACATAAATCCCCAGGTGAACACTTCTTATTGCACTTACCACAATGATGCACATTAGATAAAACATGAGTACAAACTCCACCACAGCATCTTTCTCCTTCCTTGCACTTGTGCTCACACACCCCGCAATTGTTCTTATCACTAAGAACATTACGAAAATGCTTCTTGCAGCAGAAAAGCAAGTCATTTCCCTTGTTTGCTCGAACCCCATTGCAGATATTATGAGTCTCGTGATCACATTGTGTTCCTTTCTTTATTATGCTTGCCAAGAACCTGCTTCTTGGTCCAAGATGGGGTAATGGGGTGTCAAGAACATACTCTAGTTCATCTTCATCTTCTATGTCATGATCTATATTAGTTGAAGAAACATATTTGGAACTATGCAGGGCTAGAAGGATGATCAGAGAGAGGATTGTTGTGAGCTTTAGGATTGTGTTGGCCATGTTCTCTCAAAGCAATGAATAAGGTTGCTATTGCTATTGCTATTGCTATAAACCAGAGAGTGTGTGATATTTAAACTGTAGTTGCTCGTAAAATACTCCTTGATCTTAGGGGACGAAATCATGTTGCTTGCAACTGCAAAGTTGAATTAGAGAATGCTTCATCTAAATTCTCGGTTAGAGCATGATTGATATAGAGGCATGATCGTGCTCTAATTTTTTAATTAATTATTTCATATAAGACAAAGTTAACCTGTTTTGCTGATGTTCTAAGAAAGCTTCAAAGATATTAAATAATTAATTAGAAGGACCAAAATGTGAGGATACGAAATTAAATCCTTAAAGTAAAATACTATATTTTCTTTTTAGGAAATTAATGTTTCTCATATAAATAGAGATAATTTGATCTTTTGCACTTATGTCAAAGAACAGTGGAGGAGGTCCATTTTTTCTTTATTTCTCTTCTTCTCAAAGGGCCCCACCCACTTTGATGTGAGAGTGTGAGATAAATTTATTTTAATTGTGGAGGAGAAACAATATTAATCCCTTCTTTTAGAGGTTAGTTATATTTACTATTTTTTTATCGTTAGATTAAAATCAAATCAATAATTCTTATTTGATGTCATTTTGTGAATTTTTTTTTGGTTTTGATTCAACAGTAATCAATGAGAGTTATAAGAGGTTCTAAGAAAAAAGAGTATATTTCTTTTATACTGAAATGTGGGGTTAGCCAATATTATACTTCAGATTACGTATTGATAATTAATTTGATTTTTTTATCAGTAGGAACATTTTAAATTAGTTTTAAGAGCTAGATAGAAAGAAATTTGGGTTTGCGGATAATATTAAACTCGTTAATTTATGGAGCTTCATATAGAATATGTGTTAGAAAATGAGTTGTGTATTTCTCTTAATGTTTCTTACAATATGAACCAAAGCATGAAAAAATACACTTTATTTATGGCTACGTTAGATTTGTATACAGGCCACACAGATCTGTCTATGTACATTGACTTTAATTACACGTTATAAAATAGCTATTCCAAATTCGCTTAGAGCACTTTATGATTAATGTTAAATCAATTCTTAATGTGCCTCTATGACTTTACAATTTATATATATTTTCCCCTACCTTCAGCTAAATAAACAACTGTTTGAGTTTTATTTCTAGTTAATTTTAATCGTATGAGAGATGTATGATTGAGTGATTTTTTTTTTATTATTATTATACGCATAGAGAAAGTTAATTGACAACATTGATGATGAGAAAAACAGTTTTTCTCCTCATAATATGAAAATATTCAATCAATAATTGAAAATATTACTTTCATAACTTTATTATTAATTTTTGTGTAAATATTAACTAAAAAAATTATACATTTTCCATGACTTCATTCCAACAACTCAAATTTTTTGGGTCTCCCACTGTTCAAACGTAAAATTGACATGAAAATGTTTTTGCATTGAAAGTGAATTTTTTTAATAAATACAAATTAGGTAACTATAAATCTATTTTTACTGAAAAATAAATTTGTCAAAAAAAAAAATTAATCCGATTATGCATTCTTCTCTGCATTTTAACTACCCATATTCTTTTAAAAATATTATAGTGTAAAACTAATAGGCTAATAACAGTAAAATTAAAAAAATAATCTGAATAAAAATTCTCTTAGGCATTACTAGCCCTAACATGGTTGACCATAACATGTAATGTATAGGTGCACGTGCAGAGGACCCTCTTTCCCGGCGAGAAGTGCGTAAGTCACCGCTGGTGATGGGGGAGGGTCACGGTGGCCATTGCTGCTTCTATAAATGTCAACAATCAACATATATCACAGTTGAGCATTCTCTGTATATGGATCAACCGTTGAAAGGGTCTATATACATATATAGCAAATGGGGTTGACTTTAATTACTTTCATGTAATTGGTTATTGCATTGCCCTTAATTAACTGTGATTCACACGTGATGAGTATTGACTCATCAAGGTCATGAACTCAGAAGAATGGAAATTTAGTAAATTGCCCCTGTGAACAACGTGCTACATCTTAGATGAAATAAGATTTGTTTTTTTCAATTAATTACATTCTTTTAGCTTAATTAACAAAGTACTTAATTGTTCATGAGATGATCCTGGTTAATATAGGATTTGTGAGCTAGTTATAATTTATGAAGGAGAAAACCGCAAGAGGTGAAAAATCATTATACACAAGAAGCCAACAAAGATAGTATATGTGCACAATAATACTAGGGGAGGCTAGGATTTTAGAAGAATCTACATATATATGAGATTTAATCCTTTATTTATATGTGTTACTAACCTTTAATGAGTAAAGTCCAATATTACCTAGAGTTTGTAGGACCTATTATTATATGTGTTCAGAAGAGTAATTTATCGCTAGCATAATACTTGAAGGATTAACCTCTCTCTCTCTCTCTCTCTCTCTCTCTCTCTCTCTCTCTCTCTCTCTCTCTCTCTCTCTCTCTCTCTCTCTCTCTCTCTCTCTCTCTCTCTCTCTCTCTCTCTCTCTCTCTCTCTCTCTCTCTCTCTCTCTCTCTCTCTCTCTCTCTCTCTCTCTCTCTCTCTCTCTCTCTCTCTCTCTCTATATATATATATATATATATATATATATATATATGACTTATCGTTTCTCAAGCTCCTTGAGATAATTTTATCTCCGGCTACTAAATCATAAATGTACAAAGATGGATCAACGGTGATAAAGGAAGACAGAGAAAAGGAGAATCATAACCATTCAAAGGAGAATCAATTAATATAAGGAAATAAATAAACAAAACGACATAGTTTTGGGATGGCCGGAAATAAACTTATCTCAAGCAGCTTGAGAAATATTTTTTCCATATATATAGCGGACCCAAACAATTTTATTTATGTCTGCTCATTTATGGAAGGGGGTTCGATGGCAATGTTCCCAAAAAAAAAATTAAAGAAAGTTTTAAATGTATTAAAAAAAAATAAACAAAAAAATAAAAGAAAACTGGAATTTACTACAAAAATAAAATATTTTTTGAGCCCTCGATAAAAATCACGGGACCTAATTTAATTCCTTAGAAAAAAATTGACTCGTGATCCCTTTGAATTTCAAAATAGACCCATTTAGTCTTTTTGAAGGATTAATGTAGGTCTTCTTTGAATTTCAGAGGAATCACAATTTTGACTAACCGAGTCTATTTTAAAATTCAAAGAAACCGAGAATCAATTTTTTTTTAAGAGATTAAATTGGGCCCTGTAATTTAATTTTTATTGAGGACACAAAATATACTCTCTCTCTTTTTTTCCAAAAATTTGTGTGTGCACTTGCACACAATTACACCAATACACACCGCCCCAATTTACGCTTTTTACTTAAATTTACGCTTTTTACTCTTTGTGATTATATGATATACTTAAATTCATGAGATTTTAAATTTATTACTTAACTTTAATGTGATTATAAAGGAATGTCACTTAGCCTCGCGATTATATCAGTGTATCACCTGATTTTATAAATATTCAAACTTATTACTTAAAGTAATTGTGGTTTTTTAATTTACATGTATAATTTTTTTTGTTTAATGTTTATTATAGTATTATAATATTATCAATTAAAATAATAATACAAATATGTGTTAAAGATTGAATTAAAATTGAGTATTGTATCTAAAAATAAATTTTTTATCCTTATTTTTAATAATTATTATCAATTTATTTGACTTTTATTATGGTTTATGATAATAAAATGAGAATAAATAATAATAAAAATTAAAAAATAATTACTCCTATAAATTAAAATAACTTAATAAAATAATTATTTATCTAAGAACTATGTGAGAATACTTAATGCAATTTTTTTTTAATATAATAGTGTCACTAAAGTTCAAACATATGAGCATACCAAAAAAAAAAAAAGTTCAAACATATGACTTGATATAAACTACCAAAATTTACTACGGATTTACAAACACAATAAAATGGAGAAGAAAAAAGAATCATTTTAATAGTTGAACGTTGATTTAATTATACTGTAAAAATTATGAATGGTTTAAATTTTCGCACATAATCAAGAAAAGAGAAAATAATTATAATTAAGTTATGCAGTCCATGCAATATCTGATTCTAAGTTCATTAAGTGTACGTTAAGTTTCAAAATTCGATCAGAGATCATAGTTGGAGAATGTGAGCATTAATTAACTCCCTTTCATGTTTTATGCGTGAATCATTATAATTAAGAGCCAATTACTTGCAGAATCGCACCTTAATGCGTGAATGTTTGTCAGAGTTATCATATCAATTAAACTAATCGCACACACACTTATGCAAGACAACCCCAAATTCGTATTTTATAAAAAATATTTTTTGGTAAATTTTATTAATCCATTCTTGTTTCTTGCTTTTGGGCTGTTCAATTTGTAACATATATTATATCACTTATACAAATGCAGCATATTATTTTATTTTATTTTTGGTAAACAAAAGGGCCTTGAGCCCCAAAAATGCAGCATATTATTAATAACCAGGTCGGTGTTGTATGGTATAAACTACTGGGCTATTGTGGTTGTCTCATGACCCATGTTCTATCCTCGAGTCACATATCTTGTTTAAAAATCAGGGAATAGTAGTCTACGTTATCTCAAAGAATTTTTTTATTATGCACTTACAAATTAGAGGAGAGAGAATAGAGAAGAGAAAAAAATATATAGAGTGGATTTCATCTTTAATTTGTGAGTACATTAAAAAAAAAATTCTCTTATATAGCATGAAAGTAATATTCTCCATAAAAATAACATTATCTGGTTCTGAAAATTGAAATTTATATGTCAAGTTAGTCATTTTGCTATCTCAACTAGAAACAAACATTAAGCAAATTTAAATGATTCAAGGATTGGATTTCACTCAATTTAAATCAAGAATTAAAAAAAAAGATATTAAAGATGAAAATACAACGTTTTATTTATCGTGTGAAAATATGTTGGGTATGACTCATAATTCGTATTCAGATAAC